GGTGGCGCATAAATATCTAAAAATATATATAAAGAGAGAGAAAGTCTAGACAGTATGACCAGTTCGATTTCTAACTGCATTCAAATTTGACATCCGAATTCTGACACAGAACTTTTCTCCGTTTTAGCCGTATTTACCAACCAATATAGAGTGAAGTCTTTTTGATAAAGTTTTCTATATTAAGATGAGATGTGCAAGTTTCAAGCAAATGCATTTTTCCTTTTTTAGATGAACAAAAGCAAATTATAATATGCAATCATTCTAACATTCATATACAGACAATGTACGCATTTTGATAGTGTTTAATGGTTTGACTTCGCGAAGAAAAAGTCCGGTCACGTAATTTTTCAATTCAATTCAATTTTATTTGTATAGCGCATATTTACAACAACAAGTCATCTCATAGCACTTAACAAAGGCAGAAACACCCAACAATCCAAAACATCTGGATTCCCTATAAGCTTCAGCAGTCTGCAAGCAGTCTGCAACAGTGGGAAGGAACCGAAAGCCCCCGGGGGGGAAAAAAAAATCTCTGACAGAACCAGGCTCAGGGAGGGACGGCCATCTGCCTCGACTGGTTGGGTGGATGTGGGATGAATTATACATTTCACTTGTACAATAATATAGGTCATTATTAAGCTGCTGATTCTTATTTTCATGGCTAAGGACAAACAAAAGCTTTCAAAACGGTTCTATTTCATTGAAGTTTATGGCTTGCAACCAATTTGTGGCATTTTCTGTCTGTTGCTGTGCCACAATTACTGAATCAGTGCGTTATATTAAAACAACAAAAAAAAGAAGGTGGGTAACCTGTGGTGGAAGACGTGTTGGCAGTCCCCTTGTAGAATAATTCAGTAAGTGCCCAAAGATTTTTTTTGCAGATAATGTTCGTATGAAGTCGTACCTTTTAGACGGTATGCTCTGGCATTGGAGATATTTTGGCCTAAACTTTGGGTATTTTAACAGTTTTCACTATTGGGTGAGAGGGGCGGTCTTGGCTGACATGATTTGTGTGATAGGAACTAGTCGTAAGAGAATGAAACGTTGACAACAAATTGTCTTTGGGCAGGATAACATTCACTGAAAATATGAAATGATTCGGCTGAATTCCTGTAGCAGTTGGTGATTTTTGGTCATTTTTGTAAAAAAAAAAAAAAAGAAAGAAAAACAACAAGGGGGTGATTAACTACCCCCACTTTTGGCTAAATTTCCTTAAACTTAGACTGAAGTATTTTTGGGTGGATGCCTTCAAATTGGCCAAGTTTCATCAAAATTGGTGAGATGGCTTGTGCCACCCCTGTCTGGTCCAATCATGGATGCACTCTTAAATTCAAAATGTGTCTTGTCCTTTATACTAATGAGACAATTTTTTGCTAGCTTTGCTCTTATGTATTTTATATGAGGTTTCCAAACTCAGTTTGTGATTCAGTACCACACCTAGAAATGTATTTTCATAAACTCTTTCATTATTAGAGTTATCTATCTTTATCTGAATTAAAGTGTTTATTTTACAATTGCCAAACAGCATAAATGTAGTTTTTGTTTTTTTTCCACCAGATTTAATGGTAATTCATTCTGTCAAACCACTGCTTTAATAGTTTAGTATCATCTGCAAAAACTACATTTCTTTTCGTCAGTGGAAGTTGTTTTTTCTTCTGTCAATTGTAATCATGGCATTGCTGTTGATCTCTTTGATCTGAATCCATGCGGACTGTCCATTAGTATTTCATTTTTTCAATAAAATTGTCTAACCTTTAAATAAATAACTTTTCCAAGTATGGAGTATGATGGAAGCATTGACACTGGTCTATTATTTGTAAAAATGCGATTGTCTCCGTTTTTAAATAATCACTCTAGCAATCTTCATTCCATTTGGGAAAATGGCATCATAAAAAGACAAACTGCACATCAGTGGTTTGACAATCCCTTCTATTACCCTTTTTATAATTTTCATATAAATTTCATTCCAGTCAGTAGGTGTCTTTGGTGTACATTTACTAACCAACTCTAGTATTTCTCTCTCATCTACAGGTTTGCAAAACACTGAGCTCACATTTCTATCTACAGAATTGTCATCTTCACCCATTGTAGTCCCTGGATCTTTGATTTCATTCTAGTTTTGGTCCAACACTAACAAAGAATTTAATAAATTAATTTAAAACTTCATTACTATTATTTATAGTTTGACTATTTTCCATAAAATATTGTGAGTAGCTTTCAGGTCTAATTCTATCTGTAATAACACTATTCAGTACTTTCCATGGGGCCTTAATATCTTTTTTATTCTCTTCTAATATTCTTTCATAACATTCTTTCTTACTCTCAACTCTCATAACATTTGTTAATCTCTTTTTATATATCTCACATCTATTTTCAGCTTCTGTGGTTCTCTTCTTTATAAATTCTCTTTATAATGACTTTTCCTTTTTACGGGCATTGAATCCCAATTGTAATCCAGGGTTGTCCACTATAGTTTTGTTTTTGATTGACTTTCTTGATGGGACACTGTTTGTTGTGTAATGCTGCAACTATGTTCAAAAATATCTCATATGCTCTGTTAACATCATGCTCCTTGTAAACTATGTTCCAGTGTTGTAGAAGTAATTCACTTTTTAAAGCTTCCATCGCTGTTTCATTTCACATACACTTGCATGTCATTTACCCTCTTTACAATTATAATTGCAAAATGTAAATACTGGGAAGTGGTCACTAATATGATTTATATGTTATCCACTAACCATGTCATTTTCCATATTATTGGTAAATATATTATTAATCAAAGTGGAATAGTGTGTAGCTACTCTGCTGGACGATCAGTGGATACAAACTTATACTATACATTGTTTCAATAAACTCATCAGTCATTTTGCCCATAAACATCACATTGTCTTGCTTCAACTTGAAAAAGTCCTTGCAAAATATCCTTAAATATTTCTATTTTTGTTCCTGGTGTCCTATATGTGCAACTCACAGTGACATTTATTTTCTTTTGAAAGTCCAGTGTTTGGTTTAATTAAAAAATTAAATAATGACACTGATAGTAATAACAACACAATACATGAATAGAAAATTTGCAAGTTCTGTACAAGATAGGATATTATTGACAGAGTGCAACAATGTGAACTAGCAAATTGATTAGCAATTAGCAATTATTTTATAGTAAATTAGCCTTCTGCTGTGGTGCTGATGAGTAGTCTTTCTGGCCTGGTTAAGGCAACACTGGGGGGCTGTATCTGCCCGAGCCTGCAAGCACTGTGGTTAGAAAACATCTAGAAACTTTCTAAAACAAAAACAGAATCTTAC